GGGGGGGGGGGGGGGGGGGGGGGGGGTATTTAAGCTTGGATGAAGGGGAAGCCTTCGGGAGGTACTTGCGTCAGGGTCCAGGTGCAGCACCGGCGAGCGTCGCCCCCCCTTCCCCAGTGTGGGGTAGGCTGCACCCGCTCCATTCCTACAACTCGACCGGCGACATCTCGACCCGTGATCGCCCCAAAACAACCCCTCGACACTGGAGACATGTGTAAGCTGGTCGCCGGTTGCGCAGCTCGATGGTGACGTCTGCGGGGCCAAGCGAGTGTTTTGCACGGACGCCGAGTACGCCGGTGTGCATCTCTACCCCACACTGCCGCTGACCGCCACTGGGAAGCGAGGGAGCGGTAGCTTCGGGGATCTTGCAACCTGCGGCGACCATGCGTCCAGCTCGTACCGCGCGGAGTAAAGTCGCCGGTGTGGGGACGATTGGCACGATTCGGCTAGGCCTGTTGTTCGGCTCGCAGGGTATGAGGGCTAGCTTCGGCAATCCTCCATTGCATGTCCGACATGTCGCACAGTGCGAACACAAATTTGCTTCGCTTTCGAGATGTCAGATCGGTGTTGTATACAGTCCAAAGTGTCGAAAAAGGGATTGCTCCGAGTTGTGCGTCGGATGCGCGTGTCGGAGGCGGCTCGCCCATTCGACCGTGCGAGACGCGCAGTGCATCCGGGCCTGGGCTGCCTCGGCTTTCAAGCGCGACTGGTGGGAAATGCTCATTTTGTGATCCGTCGCTCAGCATTCCTTCTCCTCCACCATCCTCGCCGCTCGCGTTGCTTTGTTCTTGGCGGTACATGACGCCGCGCGCAGAATCCTCCGGCATCCTGCTTGCACCCTGCCACCTCGTGTTTTCGCTCATCACAACCGTCGTCGCTGCCACCATGGCGGTCCTCTCCAAGTCGCTCGGCACGCTTACCGCCGGCGCACTCATGCTCGTCGCACTCGCCTCGCCCCGCAGCCAGCGCATGCGCTTCTACCTCAACTCGCTCATCTACATCGCCGGCCTGGGCATCTGCAGCTTTTGGGGCATCGTCGTCTCGATCGTCATGTCGCTCATCCCGGGACAGAGGCTCAACATCAACCGCGTCGTCGCGAGGTCCTTCTGGCGTCTCGTCAGCCCCCTTGTCGGTGTCAGGTTCATCGTCGAGGGCGAGGAGCATTTCGATCAAGCCAGACCCGCCGTTGTGGTGGGCAACCACCAAACTGCCATGGACATCCTCTATCTCGGCCGCATCTTCCCGGGGCATGCGTCGATTATGGCCAAGAAGGAGCTGCAGTTCGCGCCGCTCTTGGGCCAGTTCATGACGCTGTCCGGCGCCGTGTTTATCAACCGCAAGAATCTCAAGGACAGCATCAAGGCGTTCAAGCAGGTGGGCGACACCATGAACAAGAACAAGCTCAGTCTCTGGATTTTCCCCGAAGGCACGCGATCCGGCCTCGCCACCCCGGACCTGCTTCCGTTCAAAAAGGGCGCCTTCCATCTGGCGATCCAGGCGGGTGTTCCCGTCGTGCCGGTGGTGTGCGAGAACTACAACCGGATCTTTGACTCCAAGTCGCGCTTCGAGAGCGGCACCATCCGCATCAAGGTGCTGCCTCCCATCCCCACCTCGCACCTCACCGCCCAGGATGCGGGCGAGCTGACCGAGACGGTGCGCGAAAAGATGCTCGCCGCCCTCAGGCAGATGGACCAAGAGCGCCAGCAGAACGACCTCAACCCCACGGACGACTACGACACCAAGCCCCACGGCCTCGTCGGATTCCTCGCCCGATTCCTAGGCTCGTCCCACGGATTCAAAAAGATCAACGCACAAGTCGATCGCACCGAGCAAAAGCTCCGCCAAAAAGGTGACGGCTCCCAGGCCGACGACTACAACCTCGTCTCGGAAGCCCAAAAGTCCAAGTAAACCCCGCGCTCCGCCTACTGTACATACATCCACCACCAAGCTTCCACACAATGTCATTGCACGTTTTTTTTACTTGCCCAAGTTAGACGCGCTGAACGAGGGGTGAGACGAGACTGGCTACAAAGGCGCTGATGGTCTTACCGGCACGCGCACCCCAGACGCCGGTACACACCTCGTCGCAGCACGTCTGGAACTCGTGTGTGGCGGCGACGTGGTGCCAGTGCGTGTAGACGTAGGCCTTGATGCGCGCATGCAGCTCGGCGTACATGCTCGTCGCCAGCAGGGTTGGAAACGCCGAGTGTGGGGTGAGTGTGTCGACCAAATGCACCGCTGCTAGACGCGAGAGCGAGTGCAACTCGTACCGATGCGCCAGCCTGAACACCGCCAGTGCCGACGCTGCCCCCGGTGCACAAGACGGATGCGGATGCACATCCCATCCCTCCCCCTCGTCCACGGGTGAGGTGGCTTGAGAGTGGGTGCGACGTCGAACCGACCCGGACGTGCCCACCGAATGCACAAAAGAGCCAGACACTTCCCGTCCATGCCCCACCTCGATCCCAAACGCTTCTTGGTCGAGCTGCGACACGGGCGTCCAATCCGCCAGTACATCCTCCTCCCCCGCGCCCTGCGCGCCTTCCGCATGTTGGCCAGGCTTGGCCCACTCGTCATCCAGCACCGCACTGCGCACGTCTTCGTTGGGCGCAAACTCCACCTCGTCCGTATACAGGTATCGCAGGAACCAGTATGCGGTGGCAAAGTCGGCATCCGGAATGCGCAGCGTCCTCACCCTCCGCGCGCCCGAGCCGTAGACGTGGTCGATCCCCTCGCTGAACTCCGAGCCGAGCATCGTGCCAAAGTAGTCGCTCCGGCTCCGCAGCACGCTGGCGTGCGCCCACAGCACGCGGTCGCGCACGTACGTCTGCTCTTCCCCTTCTGCCTCCCCCTGAGCCTGAGCCGGATGCGCCGACCCAATGGGGAACGGCACGATACGAGCGGACCGAGCCGAGCTGGTCTCCTCGTCGTCCGAGGCGGCTGCATCCTTGTCGGGCTGTGGCAGTCGAATGCCTCTCTCGCGCACGATGATGCGCACATCGCCCGTGTTGGCATCGTCCAGCAATCCGTGCAGCGAGGTCAGCATCGCCCTCGGCACGAGATGATGTCCCTCGACCTCCACCGGCACCCTCGCGACGGCGCCGTGCCCAAGCAGCCCTTCCAACTCGCGCACATGTCCCGGCCCGAGCCCGAGCTGAATGGTGAGCGCAATCGCATCCTGTCGCGCCACCTGGTCGTCCTGGAGCATCTGCGAGACGCTGGGGAGGTGGTGGCAGGTGAACAGGTCGGCGTCCTTGTGGAAGGTATAGTCGTAGAAGCGACGCCACAGCCAGCCGCCGTCTTCTGCACCACGCCGGCCGACGGGAGCAC